GGGGAACAAAGGCACGTCTTCTTGCTGGTAGTGCCGTTCTGGTAGTTATTCTTGTTGCTGTGGTTAAAGTGGTTCTGCACCGAAATAGAACGGCCCGGAGAGCCCGAGCGGTTAGTGAACCGCAAAGACGACGACGACGGGGACGGCGAGCGGTCGTAAACGGAGAGGCGCGTGGGGGAGGCAGAGCGATTGAAGAACGTTGACGTGGCGGAGGAGAAACTGGAGGAGGTGGACGAAGCGAAGCCCGAGGACGACGAGGAAAACAACGGCTGCGATTTGCGACACGAGTACGTGTCCGATCTTGATCTCGATGACGCCAACGCCATTGTTGTACAGTGGTGAGAGCAACAGAGACGATTTTGTGATGAGAGAAAGAGAGAGAGAGAGAGGAATTTGAGTATTCGAATTTCGGTGTGTGATTTTTGGAAAGCGCCGTTGGATTGTTTCTTTGGTAAAAACCTAAAGAGAATCGAGGGGGGCATATATAGTGGTCTGTGGGGGAGTGGGCGAGTTGTAATTTCTTTGTTTCGGAGTTGGATTGTGGGTTAGAAACCGCCGAACGGTAAGGCATCGTTCTCGGATCCAATGGGCAAAAAGCTATGGGAAGCTATGGGCCCATTGTTAATTTCATCCACTTCCACGCGCCCGAAAGTTTTATTACATTTCTTGTTAGTGTTTTTTTGTTTTTCTCAATGCATTTATTTTAGGGTTAAGTGTATAATTAAGTTCAAAAATCATTAATCTATAGGGTGCAAGTAATATTAAAATATAATTAATCTATATATATAAAGCACAAAAAGAGAATAGTAAAACATTCAAATACCAGAAAATGCCTTTGGTTAATGCAAATATTAAGAATTGAAATTATTAATTAAATGAGGATAATATGGTAAATTCATACTTTTTCATATTAAAAAAAATAAAAATAAAAATAAAAATCAGATAATAAATTTTATTTTTATGGAACACAACTACCCATTATCTTTTTTAATTCTAAAATAAATTTAAATTTTTTTTAAAAAAAGCCTCTTGCAAGTGCGAAAATGCGTACGCAAGGCAAATCTATATTTATTAAAGCTTCAAGAACCCAAGAAATGATCTTAACAAACTTAAATGTTAAAAAATAATAATTTGATGTAAAGGGTAAACTAGTAAATGAAAAATTAGATGAAAACTATTCAAAAATAGAGGAAGTTAGTTGAGATAGGGATAACCCACAAAACCCTAACCTTTCAAGTATCGAAATTATTCGTAACATTTTATCCCTTTAACACTTAGGAAACAAAAAATAATATGTAGCTTTCGCATCACAATTTGTAATCAAATACTTGAAAAATCAGTAATTAAATGGATTAGAGAAGAGTTGTCAATCTCATACCCATTTCATTCTCATCACATTTCGTTCAAAATTTATGTATATATATATATTTATAAAGCTGTATGTTTAAGAGACTCATTTTTTATTTATTTAATTTTTTGAAAACAAGATCAAGAAACTCGCACGCGATGAATTATAATTTTGGCGCCAAAATTTGGGAAACATGACCAAGAAATCTTTTGAGCTTCATCAAGCGCCAAATTTGGCGCGTTTGTGTAATATGAGCATGGTTCTCAATGTAATGGCGGGAAAGCCACAGAAACAATGAAATATCAGCATCATCATGATTCATAATCTATTGATTAATTGTCAGTCCGCCCACTGGTTTTCTTACTTCTCTATCCCTTTCGTATCACCAAACCACCTATCGTTTAAATTCTTGTGCAAAAAGCCAGATTTTGAAATATAAATTTGAACAAATTTGTATTACTATTAATTTTTATTTTATTTTTTCGAATGAACCACTTTTTAATTATACTCGTCATTTCAATTTGATGATTATGTCGCTGCTGTTAGTTGTAGCCCAAGTATCTTTTCAATGAGAAAGACTTTCATGTCCGAATATCACTATTTTGCTATTTTTGGTTAATAACGTTATTACAAGCGTGATAATACTTTTACGTGACATGACATTATTGGTCAGGGATAACAAAACAATATTTTCTCCGTTCCGACTAAGTTTTTCTCCTATTCAATAAACAAAAAACTATTTACATTGCTTATTTTAAATGTAGGTCACTCACATTAAATCTTGCACCTCACTCTAATTAAACCTTGTACCCCAGGACATTCTACACTCAATAGCAAGAACACTAACTATAACTTTCCATTGAATTCTGGTTTCGCCCATGATGACCATGGAGACACTAGCTAGCATTAGGGGAGGCCTTGGGCATAGGCAGACAAGGCGGCCGCCTAGGGCCTCTAAATTGGAGAGAGACCCCAATTTGTATAAATTTCTATATATACATATATGTATATTACATTAGAAAAAATTGTACTATATTAATATTATGTAAGACCCAAATATTGTATAAAAAAAAGCCTATATTTACTCTAAAACTAAAAAGAGGAAACTCAATAAAGGATCAATTAGCTTAAGTCAATTAACCGAGTTGAATGAAAAGAAAAAAAAACCTAGTTCAATAAGTGGGCTTTCCACAAATAGGTTCATTCTAACATGACATATTATACAAAAACCCTTATAGAGCCTATTCAGAGAGAAAAACCCAAAACTAGCCACTTGTCATTTTCTAATTGGTTTTTATAAAATTTTAACCAATTAGACATGATAAGTGGCTAGTTTTTGTTTTTTCTCTCCAAATAGGTTCTATATGAGTTTTTGTATAATATATCATGCTAAAATGAGTTTTTAAATAAATATCTCAATAAGTTAACCTAGCAGCATATAGAAAAATCTGCTTTGCTTGACCCAAAAAAAAAAGAAAAAAAAAAAGAATTTTATTGAATATCTATTGGAAGAGGAAGCGCTCTTGGAGGAAGAACAATAAGGTAAAAACGTACAAGACTATTGCTTTTATTTTCTATTAATTTGTTATGTAAATTACATATTGTTTGTTTCTTTTTAAGTTACAATGTGACTTTGAGTTCATATATTTTTTTTTAACTTATAAAAAAAAATCACATAAATATACAAAAAGAGTAAAAGACCACATTTTGGTGGTTCGCCTAAGGCCTCCAAAACCTTAGGACCACCACTGGCTAGCACCGTCATGATTGATGCTGGAGTTCGCTAAGCATCACCACCAGTCCTTATCAACGCCATAGTTATCACCATATCATCATTTACACGCACCAACCATTGACAGAAACGTAACATAATAGCCACCAAAATGCTTAATTAGTTTTATTGCAATCGTAATGGGACATCCGCTAGTGATCGATCAAAAACATGTCCTTTACGAGTCACATTATTCCCAAATCCCTAATGCTCAGATATTTGAAATTGACCAAAACATTTTTAATCCCTCTATTTGGATGAAGAAATTGAAAATTATATAAAATTTTAAAATGACGGAATTTCGATTTCCATCATTTCAATTTCTGTTAATTGAAGATTTCAGTATTTGAATTTATGTATGTCAAATTTTGTAAATGACATAATTTTGTAAGTGGCACTATGAAAATTGTGAAATGACTCCTATTTTGATGGAAATTAAACTCGGGAATTTTGTGATCCAATTTCCACAATTTTTTCCAGGCATCATTTAATAAATTTCGCGCTAAACTTGCCAAATAAAGGAATTTTTAATTTCTCCTCTTAAATTCTCAACTTTTAGTTAAATTCTGATTTGTTTTTCCCTTCCAAACGGAGGGTTTTGAACAATGATTTCATTAATCTTTCATGGAACAATTTTTTCTTTTTTCGAAAATTCATTGAACAATTATTTAATTAATAAGATAAGTGCCAGCTTCTAACGGCATCAAGTTATGATCCTGGGATTTTGGAAGTTTCTATGGCCAAACAAACATTGGGTTTGGCCTGCCTACTGACACCTGGCGCTTAGATTTTTTTTTTTGTTGGACACCTGGCGCTTACTTGAGGACCACAGAAGCTGCCGTGCCGGTGTTGGGTTTTTGTATCATTAAAGATTAGAAGGCGGCGACTTTTGTTTTGATTTACGTGCCGACCATAGGACTGATCAGGAGAACAAGGTGGCAATGGCATGGCCCAACTGAATTTTCTGCACGCATAGACCAGCAAATGTGTTTAATACACAATTTAATTTAGTTTTTAAATTTATACCCGAGTTTTATTTTAGTTATTTAGGTCATAATATGTTATTAGCAACGCTGGTTTTTCCACATGGATTGAGGAGGAGCCATTACGGTTGAGTTCTTTGCTTGCAGAAGATTTAAAAGCTAATGATTCATGTATTTGATCAAGCTTGTGCATCTTCTTTTCCTCCTCCTCATTGTATTATGTACCTTGTTAAAAGAAAAAGAAAGTCATTTTGGTCCTGCAATTCTAGCACTTGTTCAAATTTGATCATTTCGTCACAATTACGTAAAGTTGAAAAAGAAAATCATCAATTAATTTAGATACAATTACTTTGAAAAAATGAAGAGTTGAATGATCAAAATGACTAAAAAACGAATTTGAAAACAACAACGTATAATTTTTTGTTGTTGCCAAAGTTATGAAGGAGGAGGGAGTTTTGTCACATATACACAATTCCAATGTGTCGTGGTTGTTTGAATTTGAGACCACTAATATTATAAATCAATGTCATTTTTCACTATGTTAGACCCTGTTGACAAAGTCAGTATAAATTGTAGGATTTATAAATTATGGTTTAATGTGGGATTCACACACTTTTTACTTCCGTATATGTTAACAAACAAAGAGAAAAATAGTTACATTTCTTCACATAAATACGTAGAATAACTAATAGAATTCTTTGTTTTTTTTAAACCAAAAGAAATTATGTATGTGTTCTTGATACACACAATATCTGGAGCTTGACACAATCTGTTCTAATCCCAGATAATTTTGTGGAATAATCGAGAGTTTTGCAGGCGAAAATGGAAAATTTGCTATTTGATTATGAAAAAAAAAAAACTCATTTTTATTAGAAACTGGGTTAAAAAAACCGCAAAACTTTCTCAAGCACTTATTAATCATGAGAATTAGGAAGAAATAGAAAATAATCTTTTCTAATCCTAAAATTAATTAACTATTAAATATATTTAAGACAATAGCAATACATTACAGCCTATAGGATCCCATCACCATGTTTGCTATACGTTCTAAACCTGGTGGGCCTGGGCTTGAAATTCATTCTCCGTTGAAGGTGATGGCTAGAGGGCTTGATCATCAGTTTGAGAAAGGCATTGAGAAGGTGTGCTTTGGAGTAGGTCATCATCAGTTTCTTCATCATCTTCATCTTCGTGGATTGGTTGTTAACATGATGGACGGCTGTGATTGTAGAACTGCTTGATTTCCCAGTTTGTGGGCCCCTCCCCTTGTGCAGGCTGCATCTGAATGAGCCTGGATGTGTGGAAGGAGAGCATAGACATGTACGTGAAGAAGAAGAAGAAGAAGAAGAAGCAAAAGATGATGATGCTGCTCGGTTTTTGTTTGCCATTAGAGCCTGTATGCATGCGATGTGTTCGATTAGTATGAGTACGTCTATGTTTGATACTTAATTAAATGAATGCTGAGAATATCATCTATCTGGTCAATAGTTTGAATTCAAGGTTTGACAACGTAACATTTCATATATTTTAGAGGATTTTTCTTTGTACGTGTAAGGTCGAGTAATTCGTTGCAACCGCAACACTAACAGTTGGTAGCTTCTTTTTTTGTGTGGTCAATAAACAGTTGGTAGCTAATTACTAAGTTAAACACCATCGTTTGAATGACAAATAGGATTTAAATATGGACCAAAAAAAAAAAAAAAAATCTGTTTCTGGTCCTTTTGCAATAGCCGTGGTTGAATCAATGAAGGGAGGAGAAAGGGGAGGACAAAAGTAGTGTAGGTTAGAGAAGTTGAGTGGTAATAAGAAATTAACAAAAAACCATAAATTAATAAAAGATAATTGTAAATATAACTACACCAATCAATTTTAACTGACATGACATAAACACAAAATTGAAATGACTTAAACACATTAGCTGCCACGTTATTGTAGTCCGTTAACCCTCTTAATAAAAATATAATTTGTTACAACCATAAGGTGTGGTGCGGTTGAAAAAGGTGTGATGTGGTTGGTAAACTGTTATCTTTAGCTGGCGAGCTACCTGGTGCTTCAATGACAAGGGTTCAAAATCCATTGGAAGCACTTTGTGGCCAGGGGCAAGCCTAACCCTGAGCGGGGATTAATCCCACCCTTCGAATGTGGGGACATCTCGTGGTATTTACCAAAAAAAAAAAAAAAAAATTTCTTACTATCGATCTTTTTCCAGCAAAAAAAAAAAATTTGTTTTGTTCTTCATAAGTAATGTAGGGTCGTATGTTAAATTAATTGGGATGTACATACAGTGGCAGATATATTAAGGTGTAAGGAGGTGTAGTTGCACCTCCTCTTGTCAGAAAAACCATTGTAGATGCCACACATTGCACCTTTGCCTAGGTTGGGTGGTGCACTCCATGTGTAACATCTCACATCGACCAACGTAGAGGGGGTGATGTGCCTTATATGTACATGCCCGTCTCTATCCAGCACGAGGCCTTTTAGGAGCTCACTAGCTTCAGAGTCATGGGAACTCCGAAGTTACGCAAGTTGGGGCTAGAGCAATCCCAGGATGGGTGACCCACTGAGAAGTTGCTCATGAGTTCTCAGAAACAAAACCGTGAGGGTAGAGAAGGGGGCTCAAAGTGGACAATATCGTGTTACGGCGGAGCCAATTCCCGGGATGTGACAATTTGGTATCAAAACCACTCTGCCGTGTGGTGCGAGTGTGCCGACGAGGACGTCCGGCCTTTGAAGGGGGTGGATCGTATCATCCCACATCGACTAACGCAGATGGGGTGATGTGCTTTATATGTACATGTCTGCCTCCATTTAGCACGAGGCATTTTGGGAGCTCACTTGCTTCGGAGTCATGGGAACTCCGAAGTTAAGCAAGTTAGGGCTAGAGAAATCTTAGGATGGGTGACTCACTGGGAAGTTGCTTGTGAGTTCCCAGAAACAAAACCATGAGGGCAAAGAGGGGGGCCCAAAGTTGACAATATCGTGCTACAGCGGAGCTGATTCCGGGATGTGACACCAGGTGCTCGATGAAAAGGCAACTCTGTACTCTACCTCAATCACTTGTACTAGAAAATGAAAAATAAAAAAGTCCTAAGGCCATCTATAATAAGGGCTCCAAATGGGCCTTCTCACAATTTACTTTAGAGACCCAAAATTTTCTCTCTTGAGGAATCTTATTTGAGTGCAATAAATGAGGACCTAAAATTCAACCATTAAATCCATATGGACAGTTGAGATCAAATTTCCCCCTTAACTTACAACCGGGTAGGTAAAACCTAAACCCGAAATTAATAACCAGCAAAGGTTGAACACGTTCAACACCCACGAGGTTGAAGTTTGAACACAAAAACCCAAAGCACTAAGAAACATAGCTAAACTGGTTTGAAATCTAGCTTAACAACGGTTGAAGGCTCTGTACTCTACCTGAAAAATTAGTTGGTTTGAGCAGAAGGGGCGAAGCCATATTCCTTGGAACAGAGCCGCGATTCTTCCATTTCGGAAGTGATAGGTGTGAATATTCCAACGAAGGAGAGCTGAGACAACCCTAAGTTTCAAGTGGAACCAACATTTGGTAATTTGCATGTAATTTAGTGGAATTTCAGTTTAGAGTTAAAGTTACCGTTTCCCCTATTTTTGTGGTCAATGGTGTTGGATTTGGTATTTCGTGATTGTGGTTTACTTGCATTGTAGTTTTTGCTTGGGCATATATAAAATAATCCAATGAACATGATGTCAATAAAATATCAGTAACAGGCAATTTACAAAGTAACAAACTGTCAATAATGAAAGGAACAAGATAATCTTTGATGATGTTAAAGTCTATGAGATTTATCAGCAATCCCTATGCGCATCTATTTCGTCAATTTTGTAATGTGACTGATTGATTAATTGTGTAGTGTAATGCAATTGCTTTGTAATGTAACTGGGGCAATCGCTAGTAGGCAAGCAACTCAAGAAAATAGCTAGATAAGTACCTTGAGGAATCGACCCTAAACCACAGGCCTGACCATGTAGTAGAGGATAGACGTTTGATAATAAAAAAAAATATGGGGATAAATTAACATCAGAAACTTCATAATGAAAGAAACAACGATAATGAATTTATATATTCCATTGTCTGATTGAGGATCCATTACACTTGATTAATCATATTTTTCTTTTTTATTTTGGTTAAAATTTGGTTGCATAAAGTACCTGGTAGTAAGTGCAAATCAAGTTTTGTTAATAACAGTCTCAAATTAGCATGGTATTTAGACATTGTGCATTGGAGATTCTTAAAAAAAAAAGTTTTATGCACTTACCTTAGCCCATACTAATATGATTTTCACGATATTATGTGCATTATATGAAGTCTTGAGGTAATTATAGGTATACATATATATATATATATATATACCCACGATTAGAATACCCATATATATATATATATATATACATTTTATACTAGCTAATTGTTACATTATTAGTGGACCATAAATTGTTGGTTTGCTTCAATATAGTCTTGGGAATATAAAGCTCATTCAAGTTTATCAAGTATATTGTATCGTTTGACATGTGTACTGAAAATTTAGATACATTTACCATGTTAATTGAAGGAAAACCTTCATGCACTCACATCAATCAAACCCTTATTGAAAATATGCATTTCTAGAAAAATATATCTGTACGTGCTTACGTAATTTCATCTTGTAGTTGTGTAAGAATCCTTTCAAGAAATGGGATTCAACGTGCAACTAGTATGACCAAAATCAAAGGCATATGTCTCACGGGTGAATAACTGCTCACACGCGAATTCATACCTAGTTAAAATTCGAGCGAAGTTGATGAACGAACAATTAGAACAATTCAACAAATCATGCTTTGGTCATCTTGCAAATATTGATAAGATTTAGTTTAGAGGGCAAATTGTGCATGAGATTGTCTTGCGTCTAGTCGCCGGGTGAGGTGTGAAAGACTTGGATGGACTAAGTTTCTTAATGGGGTGCGACATTTCTCAGTTCGCTTGTTAGGATTTTTGTTTGATCATAAGGCTCCGTTTTGGGAAAGTGTCTGAAATTTCTAGGGGAGATAATGATGAAA